TCACAAGGTGATTCTAAGCACAAGGTAATGAATACCCCAATTAGAGGGATTCTAAGCACAGGGTAATGAATACCCCAATTAGAGGGATTCTAAGCACAGGGTAATGAATACCCCATATTACATTTATGCTGAAAGTGCAGAAAAAAACAGGAGATTTTCTGTTTCCCATCAGTACCAGAGAGCCTGACAGCGCTTTGCCATGGTCCGTGGAGACAGAAGGGTCCATCAGCAGCCTGGTCCCCCCTGGAGGGACAAGTTGTTAGGCTGAATATGAAAACACCTGAAAGCCCTGTTTAGCTGTAGTGCTTCCCTTTCTGTGGGTCTGCAGGCTGTGGTTTTGCCTGTGTTAATGGTTTAGAGAGGCCAGACACAGAAGAATTTTCCAGCTGAGGGTCAAGAGATGGCTGGGCCAAAGGAGGCTGCAACACCCAGAAGATCCTGGTCCTAAGAGGTTTTATTCTCAGCAATCCTTCTTCCAGCAGTCTGGGAACTGTGAAAACATGACACAGCCCACACATGGGAAAAAATAATAAGGTCAAAGCTTCTCATTTTAAGACTGTCCTAAAAAGGTGTGTGCAAAGTAATGACAAGTGCCAAGGAGGCAATGCTAACTGTTGCTGGTGCTGACAGTTGTGGCATTTTAACATGCTGTCTTGACACCCTGAAAATTAAAAGTCTCTGACTTTTTAGCTGAGTGAAATTACTGTCCACTAAGATCCAGTCATTTTTAATGCTAGCTGGCTTTGGAGTCGAAGCAGACAAAGCCAAATGAGGTTTTACATTAATAGGGAAATTATTTCCTGTCCTGTGCCCCCTTCTCAGTCTTGCCTTGCACTTTGAGCAAGGTGGCAGCTGAGGAGAACCAGCCATTATATTCATAACAGGATTTCAGCCTTGGATGCCCTTTTCTCCCTCATCTTAAAAAGTGGCAAGCCAGATACGACCATCTGGATACACACTTCTTCTCTTGGGCATTTGGTCAGCATGGTCAGATCTGTTTGTATTTGCCAAGTTGACTTGATCCTCTGTGAACTAAAATGACTTGACTGCTTTGGGAAGTGGAAGGGTACATGTGTCCTAACTGCAGCTCTGCTGCTGGTGCCACATAGTGGCTTTCACTGCTCCTTCCTCAACCGTTTCTGGCATTGCCCCATTTTGCTAGGTCCTTCGACTGCCCTACAGCTCCATCTGCTAGACCCGCTTGAGCTTACTCCTTCTTGGTTTGTTGTGTGGCTTTTTTTCTTGATGCAGATGTTAACCCCTTGTCGTTAAGATAAAGTCCCCAAAATATGGTCTAGCCACTGGTTTTATTCCTGGGCTCTGCTTACCCATGTTTGCCAGCACACCATGGAGAAGCTGCTCTGAGGATGCTCCAAAGTCACGGTCCTTGTGTCCCTTGACATTGCAGCTAGGACACATCACTTGCAGAAATAGCAGCTTCCATTGTTCCTTCCCAGACTAAGCCTCTCTGTCCTCTCCAGTGTGTGCTGGTCTCAGGTCTGAAACACAGTATGTACTACAGGTAGCTGCACTACTACAGAGCTGTGGTGGCCCTCAGAATTACTTTGTTCCCTTTAGTAAGAGCAGTGGTTTGGATTTCTGCACCAGAACTTGCAGGGCTCTCCCAGCCTGCAGCTCTGCTGCCTGGAGCAATGGGACAGAAAAGAGAAGGAGAAAGTGCTGCTGAGTCCTGCCAACTCAGAGCTGAGTCAGATCTCAGCGTGGTGCTGCTGCAAGCTGCCTCTCTGCTTTGGTGTGGCATGAAACCAAAGCGCCTCTTGGAGGTGGCAGGGTATTGAATTTCCCAACTGGGGTAATTCCTTTCTGCTGCCCTTTGTGCACTCTCAGGGTGTTGGTTAGCAAAGGCATTTACTTACTTTCCAAGACCGCTGTGAGATTGTTTTGTACTGCCAGGCATTTGTTGTGCAGAACGGGTGTGTGATAGAGGGGGAGGAGGCACAAAGTGGGTCTGTAGTTAGTAAAACTCTCATGTAGCCCTCGATATGGTGGGATCAAATTCTTTGACAATATCAGCGTTCTCCAAGAATGCTTATTTGGTTTTGTTCTGATGCCTCCTACCTCTTCCTACGTGTGCAGACACAGCGCCGGTGGCTTGCAGTGAATCACCAATGTGCAGTGTAGCAGGGCTTGCATCTGTCAGGGGATTTTGCTTTGAGAGGAAAGGGTTGATTTTCTTCTGTGTTTTGCTTTACCCACTACTGTGCTGCCAGGGAGGTGTCCCCACTCTGAAAATCCTGCCCTCCAGGGAAGGGAGCCATTCTCTCCAGCTGCAGTCAACCATTCCCCCAGCCTTGCTTTGGTTGCTTCACCATCAGCCATCAATTCTAGCTCTTGAGTAGCAAACCACCTTCTGAGGTCCCTTCTCCTTCCTTGCTGGTGCCAGTTAGAGCAGGTTACGGAGGGCCTCATCGAGGCAAGTTTTACGTATCTCCAGAGATGAAGTTTCCACCACTTCTCTGGGCAACCTGTTCCCATCTTTGACCTCCCCAAAGTAAAAGCTTTCTGTCATTTTGAGTCAGGATTTTCCCCACGTTGCAGCTCATGTCTGCTGCTTGTCGCTGTTCACTGCACACCTCTGAGAAAAAACTGCCTCTGTGTTCTCTGCACCTTCCCACTGGCTATTTCTAGACAGCAGCAGTGTCTCCCCTCAGCCTTCTCTTCTTCAGGCTGAACAGACCCAGCTGTCTTGGATTCTCTTTGTACATCAGGTGCTATAGCCCTCTGACCATCTTGGGAGCCCTTCAGTGGACTTACTCCAGTTTGTCAGTTGCCTTCTTGCACTCGGAGCCCAAAACTGATGTAGTGCTTCACATGCTAAGAATTACCGTATGAAGGGATATCATAGAATCAGAGAATGGTTTGGATTGGGAAAGACTTTAAAGCTCACCCAGCTCCAACCCCCTGCCATGGGCAGGGACACCTTCCACTGGACCAGTTTGCTCCAAACCCCTGTGTCCAACCTGGCCTTGAACACTGCCAGGGATGGGGCAGCCACAGCTTCTCTGGGCACCCTGTGCCAGCGCCTCAGCACCCTCATAGGGAAGAACTTCCTCCTAATGTCTGAACTAAATCTATCTTCTTCTAGTTTAAAGCCGTTCTCCCTTGTCCTGTTACTGTATGCCCTTGTAAAAAGTCCCTTCCCGGCATTCTTGTAGTCCCCTTTAGGTAACGGAAAGTTGCCCTTCCAGTCTCCTTCTCTTCCGAAGGTCTCCTCTGTGCCTCTTCTGCAGGCTGAACAGCTCTCTCAGCCTTCATAGCAGAGCTGCTCTAGCCTTATGATCATCTTTGTGGCTCTTCTTTGGCCTCACTCCAACAGGTCCACATCTTTCTTATGCTGTGGGCCCCAGAGTTGACCACAGAGTCATGAAAGCAGAGTAAATATAATCACTTCCCTCCTCTTATGGGGCAACACTCTTGCTAATACAACCCAGGATGCTTAATCTTCGCTGCAAACTCAAATGAACCCCCAGATCTCAGGGACTGCTTGATCCCAGCACTTTCACCCTCCCAGCGAACATCAGGGTTGTTGGAGGCCCTCACAGGGACTGTGATTGTGAGGCTTCTTCTATCAGCCTAAAGCAGTCTTTGTCCACTGCCTCTGCTTAATCAGATGGTTTGTAGCAGACACCAACCAACAGGGACATCACTGTGATATCCTTTTTTCCTTATGCCTAAGCTCCCTGCTAGCCCACCACCCAGATCTGGGTTCCTCCAAGGGGGTCCCATGGTCATAGATGCTAAAGCATTGTCCCTGAGTTTGGGGGCTAAAGATCTGTGGGTTATAAACAATACTACGAATCCAGCAACACAGCTGGAAAGGGTGAGTTGCTCTCTTTAGGCTTCATTTCATTTTCCCCACCTAGCTCACAGGCAGCTTTGCCTCAAAAGGACCATCAGCCTCTCTTGCCAAGGAAGGGGAAGGTGAGGTTGCTGTCTGTTTACTCTGTGGTAAGCAAAGCAGAAAATGATGTTGTTTCATTCATCACTACACACAAATTCAGAAGCTGAAAATATATTTAAAAAAAAAATAAATTAGAAGATTCCCTTTTATCAAACTCCCTCACCACCTCCGGGGTGTGAAGTGTGGAAGCAAGGCATGGATGTGAGAGAGGACAGACTGCAACAGCCTGTTCTGCTTGGAGGCTGATACACTGCCATGCTCCATATCTGGAGGTACTTGTTCAGGTCCTGTTACGGTCATCTTGGTCCCGTGACACAAACTCACTTGGAAAGTCTTTAAGGATCCTGAATGCCCAAGCTGTGGCAGGTCCTGTGAATCTTTAAAGACTCTACCATGCTTCTGGTGCTGCGCTGTGCGAGGTGCCTGCTGTGGGCAGCCCACTGGGGACCCCTCTTGGCTGAAAGATGTTGCAGAAACCTTCCCACTGTCACCGTTGTGCCTTCCCTCAGCAAATTCCCATTACTCGTGGTGCGTGTCCCTGTTTCTCACCTCGTCACAGCAGTGAAATGAGCTTAACAGCTCCCCACTTCAATGCCCAGTGAGCACTTGGTTGCGTGAGCAGCAGAGCAGGGTTGTGGCTAACAGCATGGGTTCTGTCAGCCCGTGGGAGGTAGCAATAACTAATACCTGAATCAGTGTTTAGCACCCTGCAGGAGGACTTAGAGCTGTGTCTGGGACTGTTTGGAGTGTAAAATTAGCTGGGACAGTGCTTGGAGCCTGCTGATTCCTCCCATGCAGCCTTAGGGTAGTTCTTAAAGGTTATGTGATGGAGGCCTCCAAACCTACCCAAACAGAAAGCATCACAATTGCAGCAAAGGCCATTTCTACCTGCATATGCTTGAAGCAGTGGTACATATTATTCTGATCTAATTTCAGAAACCCAGGTAGTAATGAGGAGTGCAGCCTATGAGAGGAATCTGTGGCTGCCTCTGCTTAGTAGGTAGGTAGGTTAATGGGTCGGACAGGCTGCCATCCAGAAGCCTGGCTAACAAGGTCCAACTTCCTTTTGTCTTCACAGTTCCACCAAAGATCTCCAATATCTCCTCGGACATCACCGTGAATGAGGGCAGCAACGTAACCCTGGTTTGCATGGCAAATGGTCGTCCTGAGCCTGTCATCACCTGGAGGCACCTCACCCCAACAGGTAAGAGACGCAACCGGACTCAACTGTGCTGGTGATTTGTGAACTGTTCAGTAGATTCCTTCTCTTCCAACATCAATAGGAAATTTCAGTAGCAATACAGGCAGCTGTAAGGAAAATGGTAAGAATCTTAAATGCACTGCAAGCTTGTTTTGCAGCATGGTTTCCCAGGCACAATAACCAGGTTGCCCGAGGGAACAAATTAAATTACTTCAGTAGATACTCTACAGAATTGGACCTGTAATTCTATTTAGCTTTGGTCTTCATGTAGTTGTCCCAATCTCTACTGCTGGTAATGCATTGCACGGTGCTAGAGACAAAACTCTGCTGGTGCCAGAGAGAGGGTGAAGGATTTCTGTTTAGATGTTACACAAAGAGGTTCTTTCCGAAAACCATGGAATTTGCTTCCCACTGATCTGCCTTAAAAGAGAGAGGCAAATGGTGGCACAGGTTATTTCATATTACTGTCCATTTTGCAGACAGTCTTCTTGTGTCTTGTAAGGCAAATAAAGAAGGCATTTGAGGAGTGAGGAGCAGGGTGGGCCCAGAATAAAGGAGAACTCACCAGCTTTGTTCTGCTATTTAGCTGTGCTTTCCATGCTCAGAGATGTGGCAAGATTGCAAGGAGAATATCCTTTCAATAGTCAGACTCCATGGAGTGGTTAGCCCCTTGGGTTGCAAGAAAACCTTCACCCCCTAAAGGTGTATCAGTAGGATGGGAATAAGAGCTATGTTTCCTTTCCTCTGTGTCATGTCCTTTGAGAAGAGAAGAACTCTTTATGTGATTTCTTTTGCTGATAGATAGTCTTTCATCTAAATTGTGTGGGGAAAGCATTGATAGCTCCATATGAAGTCTTCTGTGATATTCCCATACATGTAAAGGGTTAAAGAGTGTTCAAGGTAGGCAGAGTACAAGCTTTCTGCATATGCTACAGACAGTCAAGCTATCTACTGCAATTCAGCAGATGTAAAAGGGGATAGCATTGCAGAAAAAAGGTTGGAGAGAGAAAGGGAAAATGACACGTTGCAGCAGAGCTCAATCCAGGGGCTGCATCCAGAGGAGCCCCTGGATTTGGGGCCTGTGGTTCAGATTGGGATTACTCAGATTTCCTGTCTCCTCCCTTCATCTGAACCACAGTCCTCCTGAGCTTTCATGTATGTGAAAGCCAGATATATGTTTGGATGATACACACGTATTTCCAGCCCATTGCTTGCAATACCAAAAGAAGGAAGATGGTGAAAGACTGCCAAGAAGAGGTGGGAGGAGCAGAGCTGATGAGGGAACACTACTCCTCTGTGGTATCATTGTCACCACCTGACATTACTCTTCTGCTGTTTTCAGTATTAAGCATTACTGTTCCAAGTGCATATGTAGAGAAATAGAACCTACTTTTTTCACCTTTAATTATGTATATAGAATTTTCTAGCTCTGGCATTTCTGCTCATGAAATTTATTTTGTATATAATCTTCCACCTTATTGCTATGTCAGTCTTTCAGTCCTCCATCTAACTCTTTCTTGTGTTGGGGTAGGGGATACTCCCTAGCTAATCCGTGAGAACAGCCTAACGATGCCCAAGTTAAGGGCATTACAAGGATGCCTGCTTAAATCCTGATGAAAACTAAGGCCTGCTACACGAGATGTGTTGTTCAGAGCAGCAATAACAAGATTCTGTCCTGACTCATCACTTTGGCTGCATGTTTGTGCTTTGTGGTTCTTTTGCAGCTGTACCACCTACTCCATTGTTTCAGATACAGACTTCTTTTCTCCCTTTCAAAAAGGCTCCTCAGCCAGAATGACAGTTTGCTCTATCCCTGTTAGTGAGCAACAGGACTGGGGAATCCCATCCCTGCTTTGGTTCCAGGGTCAGTTCTCCTGGGGCTGATTTTCAGTTTTACACCATGCCCCTTCACATCTTTCCTCCTACGCTGTGTGTCTCAGAGGTGTTGCCTTCTTAGCACCCCTTAGCACCATCTCACTGACCCCCTTCCAATCCATCCTCAGAGCTCCTGCTGCACTGGGAGCCTGCCAAGCACCCCTTTCACACTCAGCTAGAGCCAGGGATGAAGGGCAGGCATCCCAGTCTGTCACCTCCAGGTCTCACTGCTTGTTGCTCTCTCTCTTTCTCCCCATCTCAACCCATCTGTTATCTTTTACGGGTACAGAGGAACTGCTTTCAGGCAGATATCAAGCCTTTTGTGCAGTAGATAGCCCAATAAGACACTTGTCCCAAAATGGGGACAGAAGGGCTTCTTTGAAATGTTTTACTTGAGGTTGACAATTAATACAGATTCCAAACCCATTCCATAGCTGCTACACGTCTTATCTTGGAATCTCCCTTCCCCAGAAATGTAAGGCATTTTGGCTCCATTTATGCTCGTTTTGAAGACATCTGCTATGTATCAAAGAGCTATTTTAGATCATAGTAAAGCTTTCTAAAATATATCTCTCTCCTTGGATTTTTTTCACAGTTAAATTCATGACCACAGAATGAGGAGAATGAGCATTACTGAGCTTGTGTAGGAGGTTTTGAATGGACAGGTTGTGAAATTAAACCAGCACTGGGGGGGCAAGAGGACCAAGTTACTTTTTCCTCCTCTTCAAGGAGTTCATTAGTGAATTGTCTGCTGTTTCTTTCACTCATTGGTTTCGTCAATAGTGTTTGTTGGCTAATTACCCCAGTTAGGGCCACAGAAATGCTTTATTTCTTGTTGCCTGAGAAGACACAAATGTAAAGGGAAAGCAGTGTTGCTACTTATGCAAAGAAGGCAGGGATGCATGTGATAGTTCATTTAAATGCTTCTGGGTCTCAGGAGTGATCATAGCTCTCTCTTCTGCCTATCTGGGAAGTTAAAACATTTTATTTATACAATACTATGTCGCTTCCTTTGCTGGTCCTTCAGTGAACAGTTGAAGTAGGCATTTTTCTCACACCAATTGTAAGTCCCCAAGCCCCAAAGCAACCCATAGATAAAAACCCTCTCCTTACCCTGTGAGATAAGTCCTTACTTTCCACTTCCAGTGCCCTTCAGATGACTGACTGACTGAGTTTTGACAGAGCAGGTGAAAGGAGTCAACCAGACCTTTTTGTTTCTTATCCAACATGCTGTAGGACATTGGTAACCTGGTCTAACTAATCACGGATAGTTTAACAGGCATTGCCTGGGAGCTCAAACAGCTTCACTAGCTCTTCTTCTTAAGCCAGCAGTGACCATAGCAGCACCTGAACTGGATTTATTAGGAAACTGGTTTGTTTGAACTAGTTTGTTCGAACTGGTTTGTTCAGTTCATGCAGGACCAAGTATTCATGATTTTCTATATGGACTACATGAGTTAGCAGTTGTCAGCAGTAGAAATGCTTCACATGGGGATATGCTATAGTGTCTCATCTCTTTAAAGGGACAGACCCAGATTGTTCCCTCTGTGACTTTGTACAAAGAGTAGGTGTTACCTTATAGTTTTCCTCTCCTTGATATTAACTCATGACCTAAATGATCCATGTCCACAAAGGGATAGATTATTTTTCCATCACTGAATGCAAATTTCCAGTAGTTTTATGACAGCCTGGACAAGGTCCCAGCACGGGGCCATGTATCAGGAGTGTTAACATGTTTTGTGTGGGCTACCAGGGGCAGTCTACCCATGTATGATTTGTTATATTAAAAGGTGCTCTGTTTTACCTGTACCATGCACCAAGGTAACAACTAACACAGCCAAGAAGAGAATCCAGTAGGATGATTTGGAGATGGTAGGCAATGCCTGCTTTTGAGCTCATCTTAGTTTTAGTTCACATCTTTCTTGACTTACATTTATTCAGGCTAATGTGACTTCTCCCTACCCATAAGCTGCTGAGATCACAGTCCAGAGTCTTTATCATTTATCATTCCTCATCTCCACATCTTATTCAGAACTATGATAGATGCCTGGTTGACTGAAAAAGAGCTTCCTGGGAAAAGTAAAGATTCGTGTATGCTCATATCCTTATCAACAAACTCCCTCTCATCAGAAGCCCACAAGTGGCTTCTTGTGAATTGGGTTAGCAGCAATATGAACGTGGACAGTTGTTGCAAGGTCTTTGATTTACCAGAGATCTTGCTGCCAATCCTTTTGTCCTGGATGGGCAGACAAACACAGGAGCTTGTACTCAAGCTAACAGGAACAGTCCCATTCACATTTCTGCTCCTTTCCCAAAAGGCATTGATGGCTGAAACCTTCCTGAGGGCCTTGCTCATGGGTACTCTGGCAAGTGTCATGAGATTGGTACCCATGTGTGGTGGCGATCTGAGGGTGGTGGTGGGGAAACAGAGCTATACTCATCCCTATGGGGCTCAGCTCAAGGTTGAACAGTTGAGGCTTTACTGATTGTGCATAGCTGGCTGGGGAGCAAACAGTTTAGTTTCCTAAAGCAGTTACGGAGTGTGAAACCTGCATAAAATCACTAAATATCTCATTCCTGATCTAACTTCCCCACCCTCAGCATCAGCCCAGCAAGGGCATTCAATAGAGAACAGTCTGGATTCTCCCAGATTCCATCTGACAGTCTGAAGATACCCACTTTGACTCAGAAAGGGAGCTTAGTTATTACAGTGGTAATCACAGCATAAACACCATTCTAGAGCAAAGCAGATAAGTATTGATTGCAACACCCAAGTTTCATGTCACAGCATAAAATGAAAGGAGATGGGAAGGCTTGTCAAATATGCCATTCTGATTCTCCCTAGAGGGTGTTAGAAATTCTTATTGAGTCTTAGAGAATTTACTAAAGCCTGAGAAGTTTAGAAAGGATAGAGAATACAGAAGAGTGCCTGCATGCTCTGTGTAATTGAAATGGTATACGTATAATATGTTTATAAACAGCTGTAGAACTCATTGCCATGGAAAGTTATTTAAAGACGAGAACTTGGCAAGACTCTTACCAGTTTGTGTGTTCCTGTGGATAATGTGACAAATCTGGATATTCTTGTTATTCACAACAAAAATATTGAAAAGGATGTTAAACTTCAT